TGGAATGGACCTGGAATGGGCATGTTGATACATTGACTTGCTTCATTGAGTCAGATTTGAAGAGGAAGTGTCTCTTGCCTCCTATGATTAGATTACATCAGTAGTGTTTAGTTTGGTATTTGGGTGAATTATATTCAAATAACAAGCATTTTATAATTGTATTCCATTCCCTCATTATGCCAAATATCCAGATTGACCTTCTATTTACCCCTTTCCCTCTCTATTACAAGAAGTAGAGGTATCTGGATGGGGTTTTTAAAAAACTAACAAGGACTAGGTGTTGAATACTTTGTGGATTCCCTTCAAGCTTTTGTTGTGTTGTTCACACCTTCGCATGAGCTATTCTATTGACATACTTACAGAGATATAAGATTTTAATTTGGAACTGCTAACTTGTAGTGTATTCAAGGTTTAAAAAGGGTTCTTCATTTTGTAATTTCCACTTTAATATTTCAGACATGATTTGCCCTAACTAAAAATGTATCAACCCTTACAAAAATGTCCATTAATTATAATCCACATTTCCAGTTGCTGTAGGATTCTTTTCCTGCTGTGAAAAACTGGTCAAATTAAGATCCTACATCTGTAGGCATTTTGTTGGGTCAGCTCAGCAGCAGGTGATAGCCAGTAATTGAAGTCACACCTAAGCCCATTGTTGTTACCAGCTGATCCGGACTCACACTGTTGTCATTGTCCTGGATCTTCTCCTCAATCAGAGGCCCGCCCCAGAGTTATAGAGGAGCACATTTACATTCAAGTTATTTGGCAGACGCTCTTATCCAGAGCAATTTACAGGTGCAATTAGGGTTAAGTGCCTTGCTCAACGGCACATCGACCAATGTTTCACCTTGTCGGCTTGGGGATTCGAACCAGCGACATTTCAGTTACTGGCCCAACTCTCTTAACCGCTAGGATACCTGCCACCCTGAGCACAGATATAGGATACAGTATATATGAGAATGGGATATTAAAGGCATCATTGAGAGTTCCAATAGAGAAAGGGGGCTCGCACTGTTGTCCTACATGGCTCTTTTTCCTGGTCTCAATCAGAGGCCAACGGTTTAGGCCCATTGTTAACTGTAGTGACATAGTTATATATGTACAGTGAGGGAAAAAAGTATTTGATCCCCTGCTGATTTTGTACGTTTGCCCACTGACAAAGAAATGATCAGTCTATAATTTTAATGGTAGGTTTATTTGAACAGTGTGAGACAGAATAACAACAACAAAATCCAGAAAAACGCATGTCAAAAATTTTATAAATTGATTTGCATTTTGATGAGGGAAATAAGTATTTGACCCCCTCTCAATCAGAAAGATTTCTGGCTCCCAGGTGTGTTTTATACAGGTAACGAGCTGAGATTAGGAGCACACTCTTAAAGAGAGTGCTCCTAATCTCAGTTTGTTACTTGTATAAAAGACACCTGTCCACAGAAGCAATCAATCAATCAGATTCCAAACTCTCCACCATGGTCAAGACCAAAGAGCTCTCCAAGGATGTCAGGGATAAGATTGTAGACCTACACAAGGCTGGAATGGGCTACAAGACCATCGCCAAGCAGCTTAAGTGAGAAGGTGACAACAGTTGGTGCGATTATTCGCAAATGGAAGAAACACAAAAGAACTGTCAATCTCCCTCGGCCTGGGGCTCCATGCAAGATCTCACCTCGAGGAGTTGCAATGATCATGAGAACGGTGAGGAATCAGCCCAGAACTACACGGGAGGATCTTGTCAATGATCTCAAGGCAGCTGGGACCATAGTCACCAAGAAAACAATTGGTAACACACTACGCCGTGAAGGACTGAAATCCTGCAGCGCCCGCAAGGTCCCCCTGCTCAAGAAAGCACATATACAGGCCCGTCTGAAGTTTGCCAATGAACATCTGAATGATTCAGAGGAGAACTGGGTGAAAGTGTTGTGGTTAGATGAGACCAAAATCGAGCTCTTTGGCATCAACTCAACTCGCTGTGTTTGGAGGAGGAGGAATGCTGCCTATGACCCCAAGAACACCATCCCCACCGTCAAACATGGAGGTGGAAACATTATGCTTTGGGGGTGTTTTTCTGCTAAGGGGCCATGTACCGTCAAATCTTGGGTGAGAACCTCCTTCCCTCAGCCAGGGCATTAAAAATGGGTCGTGGATGGGTATTCCAGCATGACAATGACCCAAAACACACGGCCAAGGCAACAAAGGAGTGGCTCAAGAAGAAGCACATTAAGGTCCTGGAGTGGCCTAGCCAGTCTCCAGACCTTAATCCCATAGAAAGTCTGTGGAGGGAGCTGAAGGTTTGAGTTGCGAAACGTCAGGCTCGAAATCTTAATGACTTGGAGAAGATCTGCAAAGAGGAGTGGGACAAAATCCCTCCTGAGATGTGTGCAAACCTGGTGGCCAACTACAAGAAACGTCTGACCTCTGTGATTGCCAACAAGGGTTTTGCCACCAAGTACTAAATCATGTTTTGCAGAGGGGTCAAATACTTATTTCCCTCATTAAAATGCAAATCAATTTATAATATTTATGACATGTGTTTTTCTGGATTTTTGTTGTTGTTATTCTGTCTCTCACTGTTCAAATAAACCTACTAATAAAATTATAGACTGATCATTGGGCAAACGTACAAAATCAGCAGGGGATCAAATACTTTTTTCCCTCACTGTATGTATTAGAATAGGAAATTAAAGGCATCATTGAGGCTTCCAGTCGGCTTGAGGGGAACCCTCAATCCATCTCTGATGGACTAAGGTACTTGTCTGGTCTAAAAGGGGGTTTGCCTAGAGGACAGAGGTGAAAACTTTTCCATTCACCTGATCTCGGAACCAGCCAAATGTTGCATGTGCTGGCCATTTAACACTCACAAGAGACTATCATTCATCTTATCTTGTATACTGTATCTCACAGGGAACTGAGGACAATCCTCCTCCATTTGGACACTTTTCTGCGCAAACGAGGGACATCCTGAAAGCAAACAATACATATCCAACGTGTCAGAACGAGACCAAAACCTGCATTGTAGCTGAGCTGCAAAAGAGGAAAAGAATAGAAAGGAGAGTCTACAAGTCAGACAAAAGCCACTGCCCTGAGCTGTTTTTGTCCTGAGATGTACCGATAGCATTAGCTAAGCTTCTGACTCTTTGCTCTCCAGTCAACCAATTGTACCAGTTATACAAATTTGCTCCAGGGCAGAGGGACCCCCTCTCCCCTCTTTTTATTTCTTACATTTCTATCTCTCTGCATCTACCTCATGCATAACCTCTCTCGTGCATTCTGGTAATAACAGATGCCAGTCAGCACAGATGCCAGTCAGCAGTCTTCTGTTTCAAATGGATCTTACATTAAATTATTTCGATAAATAAAGAAATCATAGGATATGTAGTTAGTCTATGCATTGTTAATTTGAGACTTTTACGCATAGCTACACTTTTCCTCTGAATTTGTTATACAATTCACAATTTTAACAATTATCTAGAGAGACCTACTTATACGGTGCGCTCAAAAGCTTGAAACTTAACCACCACATAATACAAGCATCGAAAAGTAAAACCTTCTCCTTAGACTAATGTCCTTTTGGAGAACATGAAAGGGCAGTGGAATAAGAATTGTAATCTTTTCCGCGTATCTTTAACAATCCCTCAAGCTCCCTACATTACCATTTGTTATCTCATAATTATCATATACATTAGTAACACCTGTTTTACTCAACAGCTTTTAATTAGCCCCATTGAAACGATATGCTGAAGCCACAACAAAACCATCCGACATGTAAAGGGAAGTCTGTTATTGTTCAATCACAATAAATTAACAAAATAGTTCTGGAGTATCGCCAGCCTAAGGCAGGTAACCCATTGCACAATGACACCCAAAACATAACCACCCTACATTTGTTAAAAAGGAATAGTAAATAAATAAGTAAATTGGTATCTTACCAAATATGTTCGATTTCGGTCGATTTTATATTAATAAATATCAGCATAACGCCTACATTTTCCGTTTCCGTTGTTGAGGGACATTTAGGATACAGAAACCAATAGCCTAATTCAAGCGATGAAACAAATCTAAATAAAACTATATTGAAGACATCACAGTTTCAGTCAATGGTCATGGAAAGAAGCCTGGAAAATGTGTTAACATCATTAGGCTAATTCAGTTGGCTAATTCAATTCACAGCTATATGTTCAGACTTCAATTTCAAACAGAAGTCTGATCGTCAGACAAGAGACATAGGGTTTGCCTGGTGTTAATCCTATTCAAGTAATTTTCTTATCCTACAGTGAGTGTTGCACAAACATAATGTCAAATTCGATGGGAAACTATATATTTCATATGCTATTAAACACAGACTATATTTACCATGAATGGTAAGGTTATAACAGTTTCCATGATTCTTTTTTATTTGGGAAATGCAGTTGTTTATTCTTTGCCCGTAATGCACTTAATTTAGTTAGATTTTTTAAATAAAGTAATTTACTTTTTGGCATATTTGTATCTGATTTTTGGGGGGGATATCAGTAAGGAGGTAAAATTATGAGGACTGGTGATGGCATTGATAAAACTGAGAATTAAAAGGTGGAATTTTGACTCATTGGTGGCCTACAATAAATTAATAGTTCAGGATCTATAAAGAACCTAACGTTATAGATAATGTTGTGACAACAAATAGTAGGCATAGTGAATTATGAGAGATTCTAGTTTCTAGATCAGTATCCTTCGCATCAGAACAAAACGGTGAAATTCAAATGAAACGTCATTATTCGTCTCTCACCATAGAAATGATTTGTTTGAGATAAGTTTTACATAGGCTATTTAGCGCCTTTAAGAAACGGTTAAAAGGAACAGCGGAGTTCTGCTTTGAAGGGATTTTGTGAGAGTGAAAGTGAGGTCTTTTGAACGTAACTGTCAATCACCGCGGCTAAGGACCGCCCATGACTGAATAGGGGTATATTTAGAGCTCGTGAGGGTGCACATATTGTCATTCAAGCGCTGATAGTCAGGACGTAAGGATGCCTGCGTCACAAACAGGCAACTTCTTTGAAAGAAACATCAACATGCCCCCTGGATATCAGTTACCGTTTTTGGAAGGTCCAGCTGGGGTACAACAGCAACAAGCCCCTTATCTTGCTGCGATTGCTGGTGTACCTTTGGCATATTCAGGACTACAGGGATACAACTTCATCCCCTATCCACACCACAGATACATTGCGAACATGGTAAGTTATTTGACTATATGTTTTCTCTATTGTATACCTAATCAATAACATTTCCAGCTTATAATCTAAATGTATTCATCATTTATTATATCAATGTCGGAAAAAGAAAACATTCTACAGACCTTTTCAACACCAATTAAATGTAATGCGTAATTACGCACTTAACAAATCAATGTAGTCGGTTATGCACGAATTGAAATATTGAATCTAATCACTTTCTCTTGTGTTTTCAGAACAACTCTTTCGACCTGAAAGCTGTCTCTCCATATCATCAAGCGCTTCTCGGCCGAGGAGGTCCATTCTACCCGCAATACCGACCAGGCGCAACCGATGACCCGATCAGAGTCGCCAAGGTGGCTACCCGGGAAAGCACCAGCGCGCTCAAGGCCTGGTTGAACGAGCATCTTAAGAACCCGTATCCCACGAAGGGCGAAAAGATCATGCTTGCTATTGTAACCAAGATGAGCCTCACGCAGGTTTCCACTTGGTTTGCCAACGCCAGGCGACGACTGAAGAAGGATAATAGGGTAAGCTGGGCGTCCAAGGGGAAGTCTGACGAGGAGGAGGAGGGCGAGAGCGACGAGGAGGAGGGCGAGGGCTCTCTGCAGAAAAGCCGTTTGGACGACGAAGATGAGATAGATCCTCAAACCGTAGATGACAAGGAGGATATTGGACATAGAGTATCCAACTCAACGCCAGAGCCGGTGAATGCGCGCCTTGTGAAACAGTCAAACAACGACAATAGATCTGGTAGGCTCGCGGCGCACGCGGAAAATGTCGTAAAGAATGACACAGAACGCAAATCATTTCCAGCTCGCCTGGAAAGTAAAGATAACGTTGAGTGTCAAAAGCCCAAAATATGGTCTTTGGCCGAAACAGCGACCTCGGAAACGGTGAAAAAGCCCCAGGACAGTGCTTGTCATCCTGGCACACAAGTTGGCAAATTCTGGGCAGAATGGGCATCAAGGAACGGACTGTATATTCCCGTATACCCTGCTCACGATATTCTATAACAGAGCATTTACTATTTAAAATAGTCAAGGACACATTTTTACATCTTTTGCACTTTAAAATGCCAAACTCAATGTCATGGGTCTACTTTTTGACGTTTACACATGGACTAATTTTCTAGGAAAATGCTGGATATATGTTTGTTAGGCTACTTGTAAGACCAAAGACTCTTACAGAACATGTTATGTTTTGTGTACATATTTGTAGATATATTTTCGATGAACACTGTAAATTATTATTTAATTTGTCTTATCACCAAAAAATATTTTGGTAAAATAAAATCCCTCAAAATATAAAATAAAATGTTTGTGTGTGTTCCACTGTTTTCATTGATCAGGAAGGTCTGGTAAAGCCACAGTCTGATTTCTTCTTTTGAAATGTTACATTATTTTACATTCTCAGGTAGCTTATTATAGTTTCAGATGCATGTATACATGCATATTGCCAATATATCTAATTTTAGGAAGTTTAAGCAAGCTGACTGTCGATGTCGAATAATAACCATCTACAAAAAGTGGGTAATAATTGAATTAATAAAACATGAATTAGCTGTTTAAAAAAATTAATATAGAATTTACATATCAAACCTAGATCTGTTAAAAATCATGTATTAGGTTATCTCATTGTTGGTCCATGCAGGGTGATAATTACACAAACACCAATGGCCTACCTTAGGCAACTGACCACATGGGCCAAAAAAAGAAACTGCATGCCCCTTCAATGTAATACAGCAGAACTATAAATGAGTATAAAAGATTCATAATGTAATAAAAATCTATATTATCTTTATGGGGTGTATAAATGGAAACCAGTTAAGTGTTCTGCATCTCCAAACCTCCACAGGTAGAGAGAGATTGTGTGTGGGGTGTGTTTATGTGTGTGTGTGTGTGTGTGTGTGTGTGTAGGAGAGGAACTAACATACACAGACAACAGGAGAGCATACCTACAGGGTCTGATGGGTAAAGGAGATTCAGTTAGATTGAGATGAGTTGGGGGTGAAAGACTAGAGTGCCTGTCCCTTGCTAATCACACAGAATCACCCAGTTTTCCATGTAAATTCAAATGGCTCTACCTCCACTAATCCTTTGATAATGAGATAACCCCTGAGAGGAAACAAGCCCCTTCACACCACCTCGAGACACACACACAGAGGGTTGAGTAGTCCCCTTTTCACAGGTGGCCCAAATGAGGTGTAACCAACAGGACCCAATCTGTCACAAACTAGTGGACATATTTAATTTGATCTCATTACATTAATACAAGTACAACATTGATGAATCCAGGGAACTCTATATTTTAAAATCATGGGACATTTTCATTTCTAGTTTTAATTGTGACATGAATACAATTTTTACAGCATCTAAAAAGTCAAGCTAATGTCTATTTATGAGTAGCCTACCATTATGACCTCCCAAGATCATGATATTCTCACAAAGGTTCGACATATCCTGAAGTCCATCCCCTGACTGATGCCGAAACCTCAAGGTTCTAGTCAGAGCCATATATATGGCTCTGTTCTAGTGAAGCACTACCTCCACCTTGTGGAAAATCTGAGTATATGCTACTGACCCCAAAATGTAAAACTGTAAGATAAAAGGTTGGGTACTGTATGCTCCTACAATATTAGATCTGTACTTTATAAATGTAACTTGAAAAGTGACCCAAAAAAATGTATCTTAATTTTGAATGATAAAATGTTTAATGCAAAAACAAAACAGGCAGTTCACATTTCAATTTGCATCGTCTTTAAAGGGAGACTGCACATTCTGATTTGGCCTCGTTTTAGATTTGGTTCATTAAGAAATGCTAGCGGCCATGACTGAATTCAAACGTCAGTTGGTTTCGTGGTGTGGTTTGATGTGGATATCTCGTGTGTGTGTGGTTGCAGAACGGAAGAGTTAGCCAAATGATTTAGGCAATTACCTTCAGCTGACTGGTGTGCCATTGTGGCAAAATTGGTTTGATTTTGGATAGCCTATCTCTGGGGCTGGATAGGGACTGTCAATAAATTGCACAATGTAAATTAAACAATATTTTCATGTTGCACACCTTTTCGTTTTTCATTAAATGCGTTCAATATTTGTATATGAATTTCTAAAATGGATAGTTGGATTGAGGTTTTTCAGTAACTGAAATTTGGAGCTATTGGGATTTTTACATATTGTCCCATGTACATACTAAACAGCGCATTTCCCCAAACCATAGCCTAACCTTAACCACTCTGAATTAATACCTAAACTTAACCCGTTGAGTTGTTTCTGTTTAAACCCTGTAACCACACAGAATGAATGGGTCAAAATTAGACATTCATCCACATTACGTCAAATCCCAACTTGAAACTATAAGAGTTGAAATGTATTCAATTTTGAGTTTGTATCCCAATATTACACTTTATATACATAACAAAATCGTTTGACATAGAAACACCGGATTGTCGTCAGTATTATTTTTATTTTTTATTCATTATGAAATTATGAAGAATATTAATAACATTCCACCCATGAGGCCACTAGAGGGTGATTTGGTAATTTCATTGAAATGACGTGGAAACAATGTTGATTCAACCAGTGTGTGTCCAGTGGGCAGTAGCATTTATTTTCGATAGTTTAGTGCAAAGGAGAGTAATTACAAGAGAAAAACATAATATAGGCATACTTTAGTATGCTTATGAAAACTTTCTATAATATAATACAGTAACAACCAATACTTTTTACAACAGTTTACAATGTACAGTATATTTAGCAATATTTAATTAATATTTAATGGTAATGCACAACCTGACCGTTGTATATTGTGTTAATCACAGGGTGAAGCCAAGTGGTTATGTGGTACTTGGCGACATAATGAAGATACCCTGCTCCTGCGCCACCACATGTCCATTTTCTGTCATGTCTTCAGCTTTGGCAGAAGACTCGGCTTGAGAGTCGTTAACATCATTCTCCACTGGTGTTTGAGTACCTGGTGATGATTGTGATGTTGGTGATGGTGGTGATGTTGGTGATAGTTGTGATGTTGGTGATGGTGGTGATAGTGGCTCTCCATCTTGGATCATAGGTTTGAGTTGTTCCCTTTCCTCCTCAGGTCCTTCTGCGTTTCCCCCTTCTGTTTTTCTGTCTTCTGTAGGTGCCCTCTCATACCTTAGACACTCCACACAGGATTCCTATGGCGAAAGACACAATGTAAGCCATATGTGCATCAGTTTGTCTAAATACAAAAGTAGAGCAGTATTACTGTCATGGCTGATAGAAAAGTCAGAAAAATAACATACCTTATCTTTCTTGTTTGCCTCTCCATGTTTACCTAGTACACAATAAAAATATGATTATTAAAAAGATCCTAAGTAAAGTTTTCACTCAAATAACATCATAAAAGGAGTGTTATATACCTTTACATTTCCACAGGATAATGACCACACCACCCATGGCCAATGTAACCCCAAGGGAAATTACAATTGCTGCTATTTCTCCAGAGGAAAGGAGTACTGGCACTGTAAAATAAATCAAAAGAACATCACAAACAATTCAACCAACTATTGTCAACCAACAATAGTCTACGGCCTACAGTATGTGTCACTTAGACTAGTTTCGACAGACATATATAGGACAGGCTACTACTGTATGCCTCCCTACTACAGAATACCACAAGTTTTGGTTTCAGTGATGTGGTTTAAACACCCAGATAAACAGTCCCCAACAACCATGATGTACAGTTCAAGAGAATGAGGTACTGTGAAAAAGTGATGGTCAACTGACAATAACGAAATACATTTTATAGTTCACCAATTTATTATGGTTGAATGAAAATGTTGTGATGTATGGGTAATTTGTGTTGCATTCATCATGTGGAACCTGTACTTACCACAGACAGTGTCAGAGGTGGATGTCCTATTGGCTTCAGCTTTGAATCCTGCTTTACAACTGCATTTTTTTTATGGGGAATGTTTTTTTTTAAATTTTGAGTTTACAGTGCAGTTTATAAACAACATTGGTCAAATATGTGGAAAAATAATCAAGCAATAAATCAAGCAATTGTTCAGTTGTTCAACTAACTAAACAAATATAATTACATTGATTGTGGCTAACAGTTACATCTACAGTATGATAAAATACATGTTACATACATGTTATATATTACTAACAGATCTATTGTTATTATTTAACACATCACAGTTGTTAGTAAAAGGCTTGAACTCAGTACTTACACTTTCCATTGCTTGCACTTGCTCTCTGCTGAGCTGTCACTGGAGAAGGTGTTTGGAGGACAGGCCTGACACACCGTGTCCTGGATGTGGTCACCTGAGAAAATATACAGTTTACGGCTATAGTGACCACACGCTCATAAATGACACAATTCAGGTAGCCTAACTCTAGCAGCTCAAACCATGTAATAAAAGTCCATGTTTGAATACATAGCAGGCTCACTAGTCTAGAATTCAATCGTTCCTGATAGTGTGATGAAGACGTGTTTTCTACCTGCGGAAAGTATCCCTTGTCCTGGTCCACATTTAGTGTGTGGTACACATGTCAGGCACTCTTCACTGGAACAATGGTGTCCTGCTTTACATCTGCATTGGCTGAGGCTTGTCTTGTTCCTGTTGGTACTGCCCTCAAAGTTTTTATCTGTGGCAGGAAGGAGATACAAGTGTAGTGTTATTACAAGCAGATGAGGCAGATCAACAGTAATGTCCTTGAATATGTAAACGTTATAACAAGTCTCACTTTGGTCACAGTATGGTTGGACTTTGCAGATGTTCTTCTCTGTGAATACTTCCTGGTATTCATCATCTTGGCAGGGCATGCAATGTGGATCAAAACAACCAATATGGTCGGATGACATCCTTGTGCCTATTAAAACAACATAGTTTTATCATAATAAATACTGTACATACCTCTTATAGCCTAATTAAGTGTACATCCTACAAGGGTTCACTCCAGACTCTGTTTCACTCAAAAAAATGTTAAGAGGTAGTGGGAGTATAGACTTTATTAAATAATGAATGTTATCTTCCTTACCTGGCGGACACTTATTGCAACACTTCCCATTCTTCTCATACTGTGTTACTGGATCACAGGAGTAAACTACGGGGAAAACCTGTAACACAATATATATATAAAAAAAAAAATCCCTATGATGATCTCTTAGAAACCTAAAGTAATGTCGCAACCACAGGAGGGGTGGAAAGTACCTAGATTCACGCTCTAGAGTCTAAACTAGACTAGACCACCTTTCACTTGTACTTTTCTAGTACTGAGCATAGCAGCACGAACGTTTCAAATTAGATTATAGCTAGAAAAATAACAAGAAATGTAGGTATTATAGCTTTAACTATGACAATTACGTTCTTAAGTGAAATCGAAAGTAAAAGTGTGTTGAATGAACTTTCTGTGCATTTGGCAATTTTGGTTAGAAACGCATCAAAATGTACAAATTCAGTCAATCACTTTGTTTTACAAAATAAACCTAACACTCATCCTCAATATAGGGTCATTAAATACATTTAAAGTGTAGACTATTGTATGCTTTCAGAAAATAGGTGGGAGCTATTGCTCCCGGGAATGCAGAAGGCATGTAATCATTTACACATAATAATAGACAAAAACGTACTTACCGCCAGCATAAATAAAAGCTTAACCATTTCGATCCCTTTCTTCTTGAAACAACCCAACATGTTTGCAATTTCTCAGATTCTTGGTATATTCACTCTGCAGCTACTGTACAAGCGAGTCCGTCGATTACAGCTGAGTGGTGGGCTGGGCTCGGAGCATATATAACTGAGAGACGGAAATTCCAAAAACACACGTGACCATTTCCTAAAAATTACCAACATTTTGGAACTCAAGATTATGTGGAATGCACAATTATTCCCAAACCACCATGTAGGCCTACGAAGATTTTTGTGAACATTGTCAACGTTATCTTGGATTATTTATCATACCGGTCTACAGACAGTTTAGATGTAGGTTTAGAAAGCAGCAGCCTCTTTATTTGAGTGTCGTTTGTGCTTGCATTTAGAACACAATTTGGAAGTGTCATTCGCGCCCCACATTTGCTACACTGGTGTCAGCAGTGGGATGCTGGAGACCGTGAGGCAAGGCCATCGTAGGTGCAGTTATGACACCACAGCCCAGTTGAGTTGAGTTAATTTAACATTTCGTGGTATCTGGGTTATTGGTGGTTTCAGGCATTGAACTCTTGGGTAATGGACAAGTGGTAGGCCTACCATTGCTGACTGCCAGTGGTGCGAGATCATGTGTTGGTGCGCTCTGAGTTGCGTCCACTCCAGTAGACGTGGAGTTCCCCCCTTGTGCAGGAAATCCCCCCGCTACACCGCTACAAACTGCTTTACAGTTTGTAGCGGTGCAATCCCAGGAATCAGGATGAGGCGTTTACTTGAGAGTAGTTGAAAAACTGTAAAGCAGAACAACAAACAGGATGATAACTAAGAACAGAAACACATCTCTCAAAATAACCAGGCCTCAATCAAGTTTAGTTAAACTCAACTCCATCTCAATGGTGATGAGTGTGGGCGTACTGTACCTCCCTATCAGTCCATAGTTGTAAAAATGTCAATTCTTAAACTCTTGCCTTGTACCTATGTTTGTCCTATGTAATTGCTTGCCTTTCTTTGTTTGCTTAAATCTGTAGTTTTTGATAAGGGATGGTTCGAAATGTACAGAATGGGACCTGGAGGGAAATGGGTGAGTTCATGACTTTTCAATTTCAGTCAGGGGGAGGATTTAGTATATATACATTTTTAACTAGTCCAGAGGTGGGCCATGTGGGGTATGTTTGGGATGGGTGGGGTGGGAGGGTGTGTTTGTTAAAAAAGGGGGGAAAGTTTAATGTTTTTTGATGATTGTATTGCTCTTGTGACCCAATAAAAACAACTGTTCACAAAAAAAAATATAATTAGGCTATATATTGATGTGTGCCCGATGCCTCCACTCATCTCTGATTATCCGCTGGCTGTGCGATATCAAGTGCGCCTATAGGCTATTTAGTGTTGTCTCAATCAAATTATCAATAACCTATAGGCTATATTTAGGCTATATGAAGTGAATGCTCGGAGAAGCACAGAGAAAAGTTATATTTCTAAGAAAATGTCCTTCCTTCCCAAGTCTTTTGTGCTGCTGGGATGGTGTAAATAAAACTAGGCTGCATTACACACTGTAATGGATATTCCAACCCTGAACCCCGGCCTGCTCTGCTCTTGCTCATCCACAACTTTTTTTGTGCTGCCTAACCAATGGCTGTGCAGTGTGTGTAGGCTTACAGTGGGAGTTCAGGGGGAGAGTCAAAGGCTTCTTCCGAATTTTGTTTTGATTAGGCCTAGTCCCAAAAGTTATATACTGAACAAAAATATAAACGCAACATGCAACAATTTCAAAGATTTTACTGCGTTACAGTCCATATAAGGAAATTAGTCAATTGAAATCAATTAATTGAGCGCTAATCTATGAATTTCACATGACTGGGAATACAGATATGCATCTGTTGTTCACTGATACATACAAAAAAGTTGGGAGCGTGGATCAGAAAACCAGTCAGTATCTGGTGTGACCACCGTTTGCCTCATGCAGCGCGACACATCTCCTTCGCATAGAGTTGATCAGGCTGTTGATTGTGGCCTGTGGAATGTTGTCCCACACCTCTTCAATGGCTGTGCGAAGTTGCTGGATATTGGCGGGAACTGGAACACGCTGTCGTACACGTCGATCCAGAGCATCCCAAACATGCTCAACAGGTGACATGTCTGGTGAGTAGGCAGGCCATGGAAGAACTGGGAAATGTTCAGCTTCCAGGAATTGTGTACAGATCCTTGCGACATGGGGCAGTGCATTATCATGCTGAAACATGAAGGGATCTTTGAGCATTCAAATTGCCATTGATAAAATGCAATTGTATTCGTCGTCTGTAGTTTATGCCTGCCCATACCATAACCCCACCGCCACATTTACATTTTAGCAGACGCTCTTATCCAGAGCGACTTACAGGAGCATTTAGGGTTAAGTGCCTTGCTTAAAGGCACATCGACAGATTTTTCACCTAGTCGGCTCAGGGATTAGAACCAGCGACCTTTCGGGTACTGGCACAACGCTCTTACCCACTAAGCTACCTGCCGCCCTACCACCATGGGGCACTCTGTTCACAACATTGATATCAGCAAACCGCTCGCCCACACAACACCATACACGTGGTCTGCGGTTGTGAGGCTGGAATGGACATACTGCCAAATTCTCTAAAATGAAGTTGGAGGCGGCTTATGGTAGAGAAATGAACATTCAATTATCTGGCAGCAGCTCTGGTGGACATTCCTGCAGTCAGCATGCCAATTGCACGCTCCCTCAAAACTTGAGACATCTGTGGCATTCTGTTGTGTGACAAAACTACACATTTTAGAGTGGCTTTTTATTGTCCCCTCTCAAGGTAGACCTGTGTAATTATCATGTTGTTTAAACAGCTTCTTGGTATGCCACACCTGTCAGGTGGATGGATTATCTTGGCAAAGGAGAAATGCTCACTAACAGGGATGTAAACACATTTGTGCACCAAATTTGAGAGAAATAAGCTTCTTGTGTGTATGGAACTTTTCTGGGATATTTTATTTCAGCTCATGAAACATGAGACCAACACTTTACATGTTGCGTTTATATTTTTGTTCAGTGTATATCGTGTGCGCGGACTGGCCTGCGGCTATGGAACCATGACATGTTCACCGGAAGTGCTCCCTTGTCCCGTACCTGCTGTTTTCCTCTCGCTCTCTCTCCCCCGGGGTATGGTAGTAGGTGCCAGGCACACACTTTCCCGTGTGTATCAAGAATGGTCCACCACCCAAAGGACATCCAGCCAACTTGACACAACTGTGGGAAGCATTGGAGTCAACATGGGCCAGCATCCCTGTGGATCGAATTTACACCTTGTAGAGTCCATTCCCTGACGAATTGAGGCTGTTTTGAGGGCTAAAGGAGGGGTGGGGGGGTGGGGGGGGGTTATGGTTGTGTATATGTTATGGTTGTGTATATATATACACTACCAGTCAAAAGTTTAAACACACCTACTAATTCCAGGTTTTTTTTAATTTTTTTTTTTACTATTTTCTACATTGTAGAATAATAGTGAAGACATCAAAACTATGAAATAACACACATGGAATCATGTAGTAACCAAAAAAGTGTTAAACAAATCAAAATATATTTTATATTTGAGATTATTCAAAGTAGCCACCCTTTGCCTTGATGACAGCTTTGCACACTCTTGGCATTCTCTCAACCAGCTTCATGAGGAATGCTTTTCCAACAGTCTTGAAGGACTTCCCACATATACTGACCACTTGTTGGCTGCTTTTCCTTCACTCTGTGGTCCAACTCATCCCGAACCATCTCAATTGGGTTGAGGTCCAGTGATTGTTGAGGCCAGGTCATCTGATGCAGCACTCCATCACTCTCCTTGGTCAAATAGCCCTTACACAGCCTGGAGGTGTGTTTTGGGTCATTGTCCTGTTGAAAAACAAATGATAGTCCCACTAAGCGCAAACCAGATGGGATGGCATATCGCTGCAGAATGCTGTGGTAGCCATGCTGGTGTGATGGTGCCTTGAATTCTAAATAAATCACTGACAGTGTCACCAGCAAAGCACCCCCACACCATCACACCTCCTTCATGGTGGGAACCACACATCCGGAGATCATCCGTTCACCTACTCTGCATCTCACAAAGACACGGCGGTTGGAAGCAAAAATCTCAAGTTTGGACTCATCAGACCAAAGGGCAGATTTCCACCGGTCTAATGTCCATTGCTCGTGTTTCTTGGCTCAAGCAAGTCTCTTCTTCCTATTGGTGTCCTTTAGTAGTGGTTTCTTTGCAGCAATTCGACCATGAATGCCTGATTCACACAGTCGCCTCTGAACAGTTGATGTTGAGATATGTCTGTTACTTGAACTCTGTGAAGCGTTTATTTGGGCTGCAATCTGAGGTGCAGTTAACTCTAATGAACTTATCCTCTGCAGCAGAGGTAACTCCGGGTCTTCCTTTCCTGTGGCGGTCCTCATGGGAGCCAGTTTCATCATAGCGCTTGATAGGTTTTGCGACTGCACTTGAAGAAACTTTCAAAGTTCTTGAAATGTTCCGTATTGACTGACCTTAATGTCTTAAAGTAATGATGGACTGTCGTTTCGCTTTGCTTATTTGAGCTGTTCTTGCCATAAAATGGACTTGGTCTTTTACCAAATAGGGCTATCTTCTGTATACCACCCATACCTTGTCACAACACAACTGATTGGCTCAAACGCATTAAGAAGGAAAGAAATTCCACAAATTAGCTTTTAACAAGGCACACCTGTTCATTGAAATGTGTTTCAGGTCACTACTTTATGAAGCTGGTTGAGAGAATGCCAAGAGTGTGCAAAGCTGTCATCAAGTCAAAGGGTGGCTTCTTTGAAGAATCTCAAATCTCAAATATATTTTGATTCGTTTAACACTTTTTTGGTTACTATATGATTCCATATGTGTTAATTCATAGTTTTGATGTCTTCACTATAATTCTACAATGTAGAAAATAGTAAAAATAAAGAAAAACCCTTTTGACTGGTACTGTATATATATATATACTTGTATTTTTGTTACTGAACAAAAATATAAACGCAACATGCAACAATTTATACATGTGTCTGCTTAATAGGCCTACTCTTTTGGACAAAACCACAACATAATGAAATAAAGACTACCGGGCAAAAACTAATTGCAGGAGCAAGTCAC